CATCACTCAACATCTTTTTCATTTGCTGATGTAGATCCTGTTCTTTAAGCTGCTTATGGTTTATCTGGTTCTCTTAAAAGACCCTTGAAACTGCACCGAAGCTGATTTTTACAAAAGCAGGTACAAGATTTCAAGTAAATAATTAAAAATGAGCAAACTTATCTACACTGTGTTCTTGCTCCATCTTTTTAGCCGCAGGCGGTAACACAGAGAAGGAACAGGGTAAAAATATATTACATATCACTTTTACTGTAATTATATAAGGATAGTTATACACTTATTTCTAATTGCTTCCTTCCTTATTCATTGTGAATAACAAAACATCCTGAAGTACTTACGTCAAAGATTCTTTAAAATTAAAAAAAAAAAGCTTGAAAAGCAGCTAAAATTTTTATTAAGTTATATCCCACCGTAATGAGATTAAAATGGGAAAATGTTTGAAAAGGTTAAAAAGAAAAGGGGTGTACAAAAGGGTGTTGAGTAGCTATTTATTTTCAACAAATAGAAAATTCAGGAGCTGACAATCAATTCCTAACAGTGCTAAAGTCACTCCTGAATCTAGAACCATCTGAGATTATGAAAAACACATGTCTGGAAGGTACTAAGATGGAGAGATCACAATGGGTTGGGGATTATGGGGTTGGGGAATACTACTTGAGCACCCTGAATTGGAAAAGGTTGGAACCTGAATTACAGAATGAACGAAAGGGGTTTGGGGATCAATTAGTCCAACCCTTGGTTAGTATAGAAAACGGTGACATCCAGATTCACTCTTTTGAAAACTCCCAATCCTAGACATGTGGGATATTGTCCATGGCTCAGCTGGCATAATCTGCAGCATGACTTGCTTTTAATTGCAATCTACTGGTCTTCCTCTAGCTATCGTTTTCCACAAATAGATCCATCTCTCTTTTGCCCCTTGTGTTGACTGCAATCACATACTGTTGGTCATCTGTTTTTTAAACCTGCCCAGCCCCTTTATCTATTCTTCATAAAGCATGGTTTCCGGATCTCTTTTCATCCAAACTCTTCCTCTGAACCCATTCACACATCTCCACACTTCCTAGGTGCAGAACTGGACACAACACTCCAAGGGTGACCAAATCAACAGAGTCACGTTGACACTATTACTTCTCATGAGTCAGGTGTAACCCTTCTCTTCATTGTAGCCTAAGAACTCAATGGCCTTCTGGCTCCTAGTTTCCTTATGTTCATCTAAATCGGGGGTCTTCAAACTTGACAGCTTTAAGACTTATGAACTTCAACTCCCACAATTCCTCCTCCAGTCATGTTAAGCTCGGGAATTCTGGGAGTTGAAGTCCACAAGTCTTAAACTTGCCAAGTTTGAAAACCCTTGATCTAAATCCTTCTCACAACCAAACCCCAAGCCACTCTTCCCAGTCCGTATTTGTATGTTTAATTACGTCCTCTAAGATAGTAGCTATTTCCCTTAGCTTGTTGAGGTCATCTTCAAGCGCCATAAACATTCCTTCTGCTCTATCCTCTGGGTCAGTGTTTCTCAACCTTTGCAACTTTAAAATGTGTGAACTTCGAGTCCCAGAATTCCCCAGCCAGCTTATTCTGGGGAATTCTGAGAGTTGAAGTCCACACATTTTAAAGTTGCAAAGGTTGAGAAACTCTCTAGGTTCTTTATGAAGAGGCTGAATAAAACTAGAATCACTTGATATAGAATCACTGAATAAAACTAGAATCACTTGATAAGGCAACATATAGATTTAATAAAATAAAATAAAATAAAATAAAGTAGTAAAATAAAACCAAACAAGATGCCAATATTGGAGAGATGGGAGATGCTACGGTACAAGATATTTCTCTTCAGGACAATGTACAACCAGTTCAGTGAAATACAGATTACTACTATATAAAGCATTGTAAAAACTACATGGCTAGACTACATCTTACCACATATATATGACTAGCTCGATTACCCATGCTTCGCTGCGAAACTATGTGGCTGGGCTTAGGTTTTAGGGAGGAAAATAAGGAAAAATTTCTGCCTCTGCCTACCAGCATCCATTAGTATTCATAAGGCTAGTGTTCTGTCAGTGTGTGAGAGAGTTGAGGGCTGTTTGGAAACTGAAAGAGTATTTGCTGTGGGAGCAAGGAGACGACAGCAAGGAGGCTGGGCATGGCTTAGTTCAACTGCTCTGTACTAAAGCTACTTGGTGTTATGAAACTAAAACTGAAACTCCTCTCCTCTGCTTGTGTTTTGCATTTGGAACAGTTCAGGTGGGGAGGGGGAGTAGAACTCCTTAGCATCAGAGCATGTTAATAATAATATACGAAATACTAATGATCTGATGGTCATTTCGAAAAATCCTTTCTTAGTGAGCACCTAGAAGCCAAGAGGAACATACATGCCAAATTTCAAGCTTGTAGGCTTTCCGGTTCTGGAGATTTTGTCATGATGCATGAGTGGTATTTCACTTATATATATATAAAGTTAGATCCACAAATTGCATCAGTCTGTTTGCTAACCCATGACCATTGACTAAACCAAGATTGGTTGCCTGCACATGCTAAATGATAAACCATGGCTTCCAAATCTCATTCGTTGCATTTATATAACGTTATGACTTACGCGGGTTACATAAACCCAATCAGAGCAAAAAAATCCATGTTTTTTTTTATTATTACATCACTGCTGTCACAAGCTGTTTGCAGGCATGCCAGTTCCAGCTAAGCAGAGGCACGGATTCCATTGTTCCCTCTACCTGCGTATGTGTACCAAACTTGCTAGTGGACGTTGTTTCTCAGTGAGCTGGATACTAAATGCTCTTTCCTCAATCTAGACCGGTGAAGCATGTCTAGCTAGCAATGTCTGGAAGGTACGTTTTGTGTGAGAGGAGAAACATGAGCTAATGTGAGCCCTTTAAGATGCTATTTAAGATGCTATTTATTTATATATTTAAGACCAGATATTATGCAGCCACCGATTTGCGCACCAAGCTTCAAGAAACCACTCAACTGTGCCTTTGCACCTGAGATTCTGTACCAGCAGAAGAGCTAGGGAACCAAGCCCTTGGACATCTTAAAGGGGGAGAGAGAGGGGGAAAAAAGGACTTGGTGCCTTTAAAAAAAAAAAGCTGTGCAACACCCAGCTGTACAGCTTTCCCACACCAAGCAAACAAAAGGAGACCCGGAAGTCGTGGAGGGCACACACAAAAAACAAACCCCACATGACTTTGAAGTCAAAACGATCAGGTGGGAAGGTTTCAGCAAATAGCAATTTCACTTCCTTGGAAATCGGTCTCTCTCCAACTCAGAGGTGGGATGGTGTGTGGAGGGGCTGGGGGAGAGAAGAAATCTTGGCTATTTACATTCTCTCCAGAGGGAAGGACAAATGCACACAGGATCCTGGGGAGAGAAAACTTATTAATGGAGGAGGGGTGGTGGGATTAAAAATCAGACACATCCGTAACCTGGAAGTCTTTTCCAAAGGGGATGGCATGTGCCGAACGCATTGAATAAGATTTTTTTTCCCCCCCTTCTTTTTCTTCCCGATTATGGAGACACCTTTGGAACAGGAACAAAACAGAAATGAAACCAACCCCACACCGTTAGGAATAACTTTGCGTTTTTGTTTTGCCTTTTTTTTTTTTGGAACAGGGCCGGTTTGGAACCGCAATCAGGTATTTTGGCAAGAGAATTTGAGCAGGAGGTGTGTTAAGGGGGGGGGAGGGGGGGATGAGCTGCGAGATTAAAATAGTCATCATCATCCTCATCCTCATCATCTCTGGGGTGGGGAAGAGACAGAACAATAATTAGGAAGCCCAAAGGGGGAGAACGGATGGAGTTTTTTGGCTTTTCAACGTTGCTCATTTTAAAAGCAGGTCTACAAGGGTAAAAAAAATAAAAATGCAACGTCTCCTGCCATTGCTAAACACTCTCTGCAGCCGGGGAGGGGATGGGGTTTTTTTTGGGGGGGGGGAGGGGGGGCGGGGCGGTTGAGAATTGCAAGCTAGCATATTCCGAGGCGCGCTGCCTTAAAGCTAAATTACCCGGGGGGTGGGGAGTCCGAGGGGAGGGAAGAATGAAACCCAACTGCAAATCTGTGCCCATTTCTCGCCTGGAAATTGTAGTATGTGCCCCCCACCCCACCGGCTGCTTTCTGCTGTGCCTTGCTAATTCCCAGGACCGCCACCCCTCCTTCGAAGAGGGCAAAACGCCACTTGCTTTTTTTGCATTCAGTTGCCGGTTGCAGGGGGTGGCGGCGGAAGGAGGAGGGGGGGGGGTTGCCTTTTTTTTCCACCACCCCACTTTCCCCTCCCCAAGCCACGATTTTTTCAAGACCGTCTTTCTCGGGCTCTACGTAACGCCCTCTCCAAAGCGGACGCCATATTTTGTGTTGCTGATGTCGACATAGTGAAACGTAGACATATATATATAATTATATATATAATTTTAAAAAAGAGAGAGAAAGCTTGGCTTTTTCTTTCGTTTCTTTCTCTCAGCCTCTTCCCCCTCCCTTCCAAAACTTGCGGTGGGCACGGTCGAGAGAAGGGCAAGAGAAAGCGTTCGTCTCCCCCTCATCCGTGCCTTTTCTTTTTGTCCCAATTTGAATTGTATTCTCTATTGCTTTCGCCCCTCCTCTTTCCAACCGAAGTCTTGAAAAAACCCCTAACCCCCCCCCCCCCCCAAAAAAAAAGGGGGGTTTTTTTTTTTCCCCTTGTCGGGGGGGGGGGGGGAAAAAGGGGGGGCGGGTCGCTTCCTGGGCTGGCCGCCCCCGGGGGAGCGCCCCCCCCCCCCCCCCCCCGCCCCAAGTCCATGTGGCCAAAAGGAACATATCCAGTCTGGCTTCGCAAGGCAATGCAAGGCTTCCTTTATTTATTTATTTTCCCCCTGCTGCTGCTGCTGCTGCGCTTTAAAAAAAAATTTTTTTTTTTTAAATTTATGGTGTGTGTTTTTAAAAGAAGGGCGGGCGAGAGGAGGGTAAAGGGAGGGCGAAGTTTTTTTTTTTTTTTCTCTTTCCTCCTTACCTGCGATCAAAGCTTTTTTTGGAACGCTGAGGCGCAGAACTTTCACCCCCCCCGAATGGAACTCTCGGTGCGCGTTCTAGAACGCCGAGGAGACGGTCCGGGACTTTCACTTCCAACAAATCGCCCCCTTTCTAGGCAAGGGGGAAAAATGGGGGGGGGGGGAAAGGAAGGGGAAAAAAAAGGCATACGGTAGGATTTTAAAATAAATAAATAAAAAATAAAATAAAATAAAAAAAACCCCTCTCCGATCGGTGGTGGCGATCTACACCAAAACCCACATGATCTCTTACGTCAGCTTGCGTATTTGCATACGATACAATCCACACAGCTCCTCTATCGGGGTCCCTGGGTTTGCTTGGAAAGTTTTTTGACGCGAAAATTGCACCGCGAACTCGGGGAGGAGAAGGGGGGGAAAAGGGGGTGGGGGTGGCGGTCAGCGCCTTTCTTAAAAGGAGCGTCCTCTTCTCCCGGCGGATTTTAAGGACTCTTCCCTTTATCTTATCCGCTTTTTATTCCCTCCTAAATGTGAAGATTGGTGTCACTGCAGTTAATTTTAACCGAAAGTAATAAGGAGGATTAAACTTTTGCCACGGAGATAACACGGAATGCATCTTCACACTTAAAAGACATCGGTGCTATCTCTTATCTCGGATGCCGTCCGTCTCATTCATTGCTAGCTGTCTGAAGTTAAGTCCTTAGTTTAAGTCGAGATTCGAGTTAAGAAGTCCTGCTAAAGTAAGGTTTGTTCCCGGACACGCCCCCAACACCCTGGGTTTTAAGGCTGGACGCAGCTTTTACTTCTTTCACCTCTCCCTAAACCCGGTAGGACTTACTCCCAGGTAAGTTAGTTAGCAGGGACCGTGGAATCCCGAAGCCAGATGCTGAGCACACAATTTCCCCCAAAAGAGCAATTCAGAATGAAGGTCGGTGCAAAAAAAGAAGGCAGGTTCATATTTTGCTTAACTCTTAGCTCGCTTCTGGAGGCAGCGCACCGATGCATTTCCTCTCTCTCTCTCTCTCTCTCTCTCTCTCCCCCGCCACCTCTTGAGTAAGGCTTGAATCCTGCAACAGGGAGCCTGGCCGCTTCTTAAAAACAATCTCTGCCCTCATTTCCAAAAGCAGCTAGAGGTGTGGGTGTTTGGCACGCACACCTGCGCGTTCACACGCCCCCTCACCTGGAAGATGAATCTTTAATTGAAAATACCGTTAATTTCACGGACGAAAGTAGCTAACTCTGTGTGTGTGTGTGAAGTTGGCCTTGCAAATCAGCCCAACCTCCCAAGGGGCCGAAAAACGGAGTAGTGCAGCTGTAGCGCCCGGCTAGCTTCACGGAGATCGATCGTGCATTATAATTTTAAGGTTTTTTTGCAGATTTTCAGAAGTGCCCTTTCGGGGCGTCTCTCTTGGGTCTTGATTTTTTACAACCCAACAACTTGCTTTAACCTGCCGCCGGCCAGGATACTTGTTGCTCCGGTTAAATTTTGAGAGTGGGTGGGGTGGGCTTTAAAAGTATTGCGCTGTCTCCTGATTAGATGGGAATTGGACCCCTTTCAAATCTTTCCATCACTACCACCGCCTGCTTTGAGATGCCGTGAATGCAACTCAGGTGATTGTTTTCTTTCTCCAAATTTCGTAATTGGGAACCTATCCTTAAAGTAAGTCTCTAGGGAACGGTTGGGAATCCGGCGGCAATATAAACGTAGTAAAAGTATTAATTAGTGTTATGATCCTGAAAACCCTTGCCAAGAAAACAGGGATTTGACCAGGCAGTCTGCAAGAATCAGAGACGATTGAACGGGGGGGGGGGGGGGGGGGAATAACTATTAGGGATATCATACATTGATTTTAAGTCCCAACTAGGAAAATTGGGGACTGAATAAAGGGCTTGTTTTGCTTGCTACAAGTGGCTAATGTGGTTCACACTGAGCCATGGCCTAATAATGTCTTATGAATAAACCAACATTGTCTGGGTTCTCACTCCTCATTGTGATGAAAGTTAATTTCTGAAGCATAATATCCCATGTTCTCACCCACACGCTTACATTCCTGTTTGTCTGGGGTCCGGCTGTCTTTAAAATTCAAACTTGGGTCAGGCTGTAAAAAACAGGGAGGGTGAAAACTGAAACAGGACGTCGCGTCTCCCTTTAAGACCTGTATCCCCTTAGATTCACCGCAGTGCATCCATTAAAAGTTTGCATTGATAATTCATTTTAAGAATGGACCAAGTGGCGATCCAGATTTAGAAATTCCGGAATACATAACTCTTGCTTCGCTTTCCTTGCTTCGGGGAAAGGAGGGAGAAGCAGGCGGCGACGAGTTCACTTACCGTTTGGATAGCTTGAATGCTGCGCGCTCTCGGCTTTCCTGCGCGGAAAAGCGGGCTTGTGGCTGAGATGTTAGAATAATATACCTCGCAGCCTCGCGGAAGGGAGCTCAGGATCCTATCTGCCTGTTTACTCTCCGGAAAGAACCGCGGAGAAGACTCCTTCCACCCAGCGCCGATCCTTTGAGGATGGGGTTTCCTTTTATCCTTTCCCTCTTGCGCAGCCTCTTGCGCTGGGAAGGTTTTGACTTTTAACTCCTCTACAAAATGGATGAATGGATGGAGAGGTCTAATTTGAGTCGTCCTGTTTGGTCTCTGCTTTGTTGAGGGATCAGGCAATTTGAGGTCAAGGACGGCTTGGTTTTTAAATATCTCCCTTTGCCTTCCACTCCTCCCCTCAGGTGGTACCATCTAACCAACTTTTGGAAAACGGCTAAGTAAGGTCAGATCTAACCAACTTTGGAAAACGGCTAAGTAAGGTCAGTTCTGATTTATACGTGGGTGGAAAGTTACCCGAGAATCCCAGATCTTTTGGCTAGAGCAGGAGGTTTTTTTAAAAAAAGAAAGATGGGAAGGAAGGGTTAACAAACCAGATCTGCATCTCATTTTCACAGGCAGACACCAAGTGATCCTCCTCCGCCTTTTGTTCTTTAAATTTCTCTCCTCTATCAAAGCGTGATTTTCAGTGACTCTCAAGCCATTTGCTCAACCTTCTTATTGTTGTTTTGTAATTTGCTCATTCATTCCCTGGGTGACCAAACCACCTCAGCGTACAGGGTTCCTCACTTTTTCATGCAGAACAGAACACGATAGCCAGAGTTGGTGGGGACCTTGGAGGTCTTATAGTCCAACCCCCTGCTCAAACAGGAAACCTTTTACTGTTGCAGGCAAATGGTTGTCCAAATCTCTTTTTAAAAACCTCCAGTGATGGAGCACCCACAACTTCAGAAGGTAAGCCATTCCACTGCTTCATTGTTCTCACTGTGGGAAAATTTCTCCTTGGTTCGAGGTTGCTTTCTCTCTTTGATTAATTTCCATCCATTGCTTCTTGTCCTGCATTCAGGTGCTTTGGAGACTAGGTTGACACACACAGTCCTCTTCTTTATGGCAGCCCTCAATTATTGGAACATCTCTATCATGTCACCCCTAGTCCTTCTTTTGAAAAATAGAATAGAATAGAATTCTTTTATTGGCCAAGTGTGATTGGACACACAAGGAATTTGTCTTGGTGCAAATGCTCTCAGTGGACATAAAAGAAAAGATACATTCGTCAAGAATCAGAAGGTACAATACTTAATGGTAGTCATAGGGTATAATAAGCAATCATATCTTACTAGGGAATAATATAAATCATAAGGATACAAGCAACAAATTTACAGTCATACAGTCTCAAGTGGGAGGGGATGGGCGATAAGGAGTGATGAGAAGATTAATAGTAGTGCAGACTTAGTAAATAGTTGGATAGTGTTGAGGGAATGATTTGTTTAGCGGAGTGATGGCGTTCGGGGAAAAACTGTCCTTGTGTCTAGTTGTTCTGGTGTGCAGGGCTCTATAGCGTCGTTTTGAGGTAAGGAATTGAAACAGTTTATGTCCCGGATGTGAGGGGTCTGTAAATATTTTCACAGCCCTCTTTTTGACTCGTGCAGTATACAGGTCCTCGATGGAAGGCAGGTTGGTAGAAATTGTGTTTTTTTCACGAGACATATTCAATTCCTCTCCATATTTATTAAGAATCGATTTGTTCTGGGTCCTGTTTCTCCTTCTGCCCAAACAGTTCTTAAATAAGCCTTCCCACTTCATTCAGCTTTTATATTTCTCCCAATACGTCCAGATCTCACTTCCATAAGGCAAAAGGGCCATAGCCATATTTTTATACACAACTGTTTTCACTTTGTTTCGTTCATACTCAGTTTTGACCACATGCTACCGACTGTCATTCTGTATGATTTGCACATCTTAAAATGCCTTCTTCCATCTTCCTATCTTTATTAAAAATTTATCTAGGTTTTGTCATACATATATAACTTGCTACTGTTCACTCAAATTTCCCCAACAAATTCAACTACCTTTGTTATTTTCATACCTTAGTTTTCACATCCATATGTCTTATGGTATTACACTCTTGGTAACACTTTCTGCAAACCATCTGATTCTCCGTCAACAGCGCTGTATTGTCTACATACACAACTACATTCCCAACTTCTAACATCCTCCAACATCTAATACCCAATATCTTTAATATCCCCTTACATGCTTATTCATAAGTACATTAAACAACTAAGTGGACATCACACATCTTTTGCCTCAATGCCTATCCATTTACTTAGCATTCCATCTATTTTCACACTTAATTCTATCATGTAGTAATCATGTATTGTCGGCTTTTAATGAATACTGCAACAAATCCTCAACTTATACTTTTTAATTTTCCGGCCTCCATGTCTACTACTTCATCATTCAGATTCTTTAATTCAACATATGTTGAAGTTCCTTTGTCACAGCCACAAAAGAACAAAAAGTAAAGCAGAGCATGGCAAAACAATCTGCCCACCATAAAAACATCTCTGCATTTCCCAGTTGGTTTATGTTGTCACTTCTTGAATCTTTTCCATCAAAACCTGCCAAATACCTTCCTGGGGACACTTAACAAACTAATCCCCCCCCCCCCACTGTAGTTTTGCATTCATTGTTGATATCATTCCTTTTGATTTTAAGGGAACAGTAACCACCATTGTCAAGCATATGAACTTTTCATAGACATGTTAAAAGAATTTGGGCAGCCACTCTATAAACACACATGGAACATTCTCCAGTTACATCTACATTTGCAGATTTAATATTTTAAAAAAAAAATT